GTTTTTCTAGGCCGGTATTGTGGAAAGCCTTGATAACTTAGTGAAGGAATTCATAACCTCAACAAATGAGAAGAAGAAAGATATACTCACGCGGTTGGAGGAAGAAGCTGATAAGCTCCAGGGTTCCTCCGCCAGGTTCTCTCAATGACCTTTATTGAACCTTGATCTGACACACATGGAAGTTTGGTATTAATTTTCTTCGAAATTATCCTCTTGTTATTTATCTGTAGGTATGGGAAGATCTATGTGAAAGCTGCTAAGAGCAGCCTGGAAAAAGGCTCCGATTACGCTAAGAATGAAGTTCTTCGTCTGGAGCGCATTCTTGCCAAGGTAAACCATTTTTTCTTCCAGCCCATAGCTATCTTGCCCACATTAAAAATTTAAAATTAATGCTATCCCTGCCAAAGTTAAACCATTCTTTCTTCCAGCCCATAGCCTTCTTGCACATATTATAAGTTAAAATTAATGCTATCCCTGTTTCTCTAGTGATCAGCTAGAGAAATACACATTTTAGGCTATGTTTGGTAAGGCTAGTTGATAATCTAGCTTATAGCTTACAAGTGATTTTCGAGCTTATAACTAAAAAGATAGATTATATGATAAAAATATTTGGTAAAATTAAACGAAATAAAAATTTTAACGAGTTTATTTGAAAAGATACACAAAAAAGCTCATAAGATAAGCTTGAGCTTTTTTAAATAGTTCGTTCAACCAAATTTGAATAAATGAACCTTATAAGCTAACCAAATAATTATAAGCTACCTTATTTGGTTACCAAACATAGTCTTCTAGTTGTCCATGTCTTTTGACTATCTTGTGATAAGTAGTCCAACGTGTAATATTTATGACGAAATATTTTTTTTTTTAGAATATCATAATAGTAGAGAATCTCGGACAATTGTTTAATCAGATTTTTGTTAATGCAGTCAATCAGCGCAACCAAGGCCGATGAGTTTACACTGAAGAAGAATATTCTATCGACCTTTACATCTGACCAGTGAAAGGATTGCAGCTATTGATACTTTCACGCTATCGGCCTTTAACTTCACGCTTATTGTTCGCACCTTTTTCAGGGATTTTTGAGCTTTCTCTATCCATTTTCACATGGACTACACATATTATGGAGTCCCTTACGACTAGCTCGGAAAAACATTTAAAGAAGAACCCATTACGAATTACTTGTTTTCAGAAGTAGCAATAATGTAACTTTTTTCATAGGTAAGTTTTGGAGTTTGTACGACTTTACTTTTTCAGACCATGGTATGAAAAACGATGACAGTTTATGCAGAATTACGTATGTTATTTGAGCAGCATCTTTTCATGTTGTTTTAATATATATATACATATATACACGGGAGTTATAGTCCTGGAACCATTCCGTCGGAGTTTGTAACCGGTAGATCAATTATTCAGGACGATTACATGATGATCTAACGGTTATAGATTCCGATGGGATGGTTCCATAACGGGATTGTAGCATTACTCTATATATACTATTGAGATGTACGTGTGAACCTGCTTTGAAAGTTGTAATATGCATTTTGTAGTTAACCAGCTACATTTCTAGTTCTTTGTATATGGAGTCTGCTTTTCAATAAATATGTTTGGTAAAATTAACTAACTTATATATATATAAATGTGTTTGGTAAAATTAATTGATAAACTAGTTGAATACAAATTTCAACGAGCTTATTTAAAAAATTACTCATTTTTTTAAGGTAAGCTCAAACTTTTTTAAAAAAGTTTGTCCTCTCAAACAAAATTTATGTGAATACAAAGAATTTATAAATTAATTAAGTAAATTATAAACTAATTTATTTGGTTACTGGACATAATCTAACTCAGGTGATACACACATTACATGAATATTTGTACAAAATTGATTTGTTATTGATTTGTTATTGAATAAATGTATCCTCATTTTTTTCACATACAATTCATTTATTATTCATAAAAACATATTATAGATTAAAATGTACCCTCATTTTCACAATACAATTTATTTAGCATAACAAATATTTTAAAAACAAAAAAAGCCAAAACGAAAAATCATAAATGCAGAGTTGCAGCTCAGTCTACTCGTCTAAAATTGAATCCAATTGAAAAAAATTAGGGTTCTCACTGTGTCCCAAATTTCCCCAAATCTATCTAATACTAATAGTTTCCGTCCCACAGTTTCTGGTTTCTTCCTTAAGAGCTCCGGCATGGCTCAACCCAGCAACACCGTGAGTACAAATCACTACATTATATATCTGTGTTTTGTCATCTGTCTTTTCTGGCGAACCCTATAAGATTTTACATTCGCTGCTTTATTTGCAGGCTGCTGGAGTTGACAACACTTTCCGAAGAAAATTTGATCGAGAGGAATATCTACAGCGTGCTCGCGAGCGCGAATCAAAGGTCTGATTATGATACTTCTTCACAAAATTCGTTTGTGCTTCTGGTTTTACATACTCGTCATTGTATGTTATTTGCATTTTTTTGTGTTGGACTGATCGTGGTTTCTGTATTTTGTGTGTTGTTCTTCCATTGTAGGAGGCAGAAGGTCGAAAGAAATCGAAATGTAATAAGATATTTGGCGTAGTTATTCTTTTTTAATTTTATTGGGTCAGATGTGTGTAAATTGATTAAGTGCATAATTTTGGGCCCTGAACTTTGAAATGCTTGGTTGAGTTGTTTTTTTCGAAATGTCTTGTGCAGCAAGTGGCCCACCAGTGCAAAGGAAGCCATTGAAGCACCGGGATTATGAAGTGGACCTCGAATCACGCCTGGGAAAGACTCAGGTTAGGTTACATTTAGTGATCCGAATGAATAGTGTTATTGAATTCATTGTATGCATTGTTTAGTAGTTATTACACGACCTCAAGTAAGTGTATTTGTACCACTGCAGAAATATACTCAAATTCTTATTGTAGGATTTGAGATGCATTAATTATCCGTTTGAATACTTGTGTTGGGATATAAAACCGTGCTTGTTAAAAGCTGAAATATGATGGATCTAGATCATGCATTATTAGTTTGATAGTTATAAGAGTTTGTCCTTTTAGCTGAAACGGAAAAGACCTATAAAAAAGTGTTTTGCGGAAATAATCATCACTCATTTTTGCATGATATGGTTCTAGTTTGATCATAATTGGTTCCTTCAAAATTATATGTGGGTAATTGTTAATTTTGGTCGGGATACGCCCAAAGTGCTGAATGTTGTTTGTGTGAAAGTGGACATGGATGTAAAGGGTGTTTGGTCTTCTTTCTTCTTTTGCTGAAGTATATACTTTCAAAGTATATTTTCCTGGAAGGTACTTGACCATCAGTTTCAAATGACAATATACATTTATTTTTACCATACATTTATATTTTGGCCGCTACTGTTTGAATCTTTTACGTGCACGTGCGTTTTTCTATTTCTAATTTTCTTTATATTTATTTTTCTTTTAGGTGACCTATTTGATCTCATTTATTACTTCTGTAGGTTGTGACTCCAATTGCGCCCCTCAGTCAGCAGGTACTTTCCAAGACATTCATTTTTAATGGTTTCATATATTTATACTTACTATTGGTAATATTGGCATATTATTTGTATGTGTGTGATTTAGGTTTCCCCGATTACACAGAAGTGGCCGCAACTTCGAATGAAAACCTACTTTGTGACATAGGTTTAGTTAGTAGTGCTTAAGAGCTGAGTTTATAAATGGAGTAATGAGCTGTGGAGAATCATCTTTTAAAAGGAGTAACCACTCAAAAGTATGGAATATGCAGTAGGAGTCATCTTTATTATAAACCACATGGAAGTTTTTATCTTATTTTGCTGTTTATGAGCTTGATCTGCTTGTACGTATTATTGATATGTGCATTGATTCCCTAGTATAGCTTATTGTTTACGATCCTTTTTTCTTTGAATGGTAACTTGCACCCAGAAATTGTCTAACTTAGCTGATTTTTCTTACAATTAACAGCATTTTAATGTCAATAAGTACCTTTTTTTCAATTATGCAAAAATGGTGTTTGACTCCATTTTACCGCAGGCTGGATACTACTGCTCAGTTTGTGAATGCGTAGTGAAAGATTCTGCAAACTACTTAGATCATATAAATGGGAAGAAGCGTATGTCATCAATTATCTATAACACTCTTTATTTTTGTGCATGTTATGTGTTGTTCTTCTTGTCAAACATTTTGATAGCTTTACCTTTATATGCGTAATTGTAACATATTTTTGGATTCCTTCTGCCAGATCAACGAGCTTTGGGCATGTCTATGCGGGCTGAAAGATCAACCTTAGAGCAGGTAAGCTTTAAATATGTTCTTAGTTGATTGGATTTTAGTTGTCCATATCTTCTTTTATATATCAGTGGTACGACTTAAAATTGAGTTTAGTTGATTGAATTTTAGCTGACTTGAACGGCTTGTATCAGTAGAGTATGAACTGATTATATATCAGTTATATGACTTTTAACCGAGTTTGTTTGTTCTTGGTTTTTCTTGATGCACAGGTGCAGAGGCGGTTTGAGGTTCTCAAGAAGCGGAAAGATACTGGAGGCTTTACAGAACAAGGTATGACTTAAAATAGAAGAGCTCCGTTAATATATTTGGCATCCATGTTTGAGTACACATCATTAAGCCCAAAGGCCCCAAACTATAGTCATACTTTGCTTAGCATGGTTCTCATCTCCTGTTTTGGCCTCCGTTATGAAGTTATATTATTTGTCATTTTTGGAATTGGAACTAGATATGCACAAATGCATATAATCGTTTGTCATTATTGAACTTGAACTTGAAAGGAAGGATATGTGTGTCATTTTCCAAAAGGATGAAGCCCTGGGAAGTTACAGCTGGGGAATGGTATTTTACCACTCTGATTATTTTTTCAAGATTTACCAACATATCTTCTGTCTAACTGCCATTTTTCATCACATTTTGAGTATATACCTTAAGTTGTGGTGTGGTCTTGGAGTTTGTTTCTGTTCAACTTTTACCCGTCTATCTTGTTACAGCTCAAAGCCATGGCTAAAATTATGATAAGATAAGTTGCTAGCTGCTTGCTTAAATGCGCTTATTATGAGGTGAAATAATAATACTAGGACTCAATGACTTGATGAAAGCATTTATCTTTAGAGCATGTGAAGAGGAAAGAATTACACAGTTGTGTCTTTTGCATCATCATTTAGATTTAAGCTGCTGCAAAACCAGAAAGCAAAATCAATGATCTACCTACGCATTTTGATTCACATCATGTCAAGAAATTCAACGTGATGTTGTGTTCCAAGCCATCTGCAGTAATTTTTTTATTTTTATTTTGGTTGCATTTTTAATGCTTGTTATGCTTTGTGCTCCATGCCTTGTTTTTATTTTGATAACACAAGTAGAAGATCATATGCTTGAGGAGTTATTTAGAGTGTGATGTTTTAACTTATAACCGTCTTGCAACTAAGTATGGTTTTGATTTAGCAATTGCATGTTATCACGGCACAATATATTTGAATCGTAGACTTTGATGAAAGGATCCTTAAACAACAACAAGAAGATGAGGAAATCAAGCGCCAACGTCGTGAGAAGAAGAAAGAGAAGAATGTTAGTAATCGATGAACCTAATCCTAAATCTTTCTTTA